CACAGTGTACTCCATCAGGCAGGATGTACTCCCCCCAAATTCCCAGTTGCAGTGTTTTCCACCAGTGGGGATGTTTCAGTTAAGGTTTTCCCCCCAGTCATGGTGTTTCATACCAGTGGGGGTGTTTCTCACTAGTGTTTTTAAGTTTTGCTGTTTTCAGTTGAGGTTTTTGCCACCAGGGAGGTCAGTGGAGGTGTTTCCCCACCAGTGGGGGTGTTTTAAAGTATAGTTGAGGTTTCTGCCACCAGGGAGACATTTTGCCACCAGTGGGGGTGTTTCCCACCAGTGTGGTGTTTCTCACAAGTAACTTAAAAACTTGAAAAGTCATTAAAAGTGTTTTGTTTGCAATTACAAAGTTTACTATTAATTTTTCTATGAAATCAATATAAATATCAATATCACTCCAATCAGCATTTTTTAAAATCAGCATTGAATACATGTGTCTTTAGAAGTGTTTGAAAATCCAATTTCAATACATGATTGGGCATTTGTGAAAATATATATATCAGTCAATGTTTTTGAAAATCTAATTTCAATACATGTGTGTGGGCGTTTGTAAAAATATTAATATCACTCCAGTCAATGTTTTTGAAAATCAGCATTGAATACATGTGTGTGTGGGTGTTTGAAAAAAGAAATAACTTGAAAAAATTGAAAAGTGACTTAAAAACTTGAAAAGTAACTTAAAAACTTGAAAAGTAACTAAAAAACTTGAAAAGTCATTAGAAGTGTTTTGTTTGCAATTACAAAATTGACTATTAATTTTTCTATGAAATCAATATAAATATCAATATTGCTCCAATCAGCATTTTTTTTAAATCAGCATTGAATACATGTGTCCTTAGAAGTGTTTGAAAATCCGATTTCAATACATGTGTGCGGGCGTTTGTGAAAATATCAATATCACTCCAGTCAACGTTTTTGAAAATCAGCATTGAATACATTTGTCATTAGAAGTGTTTGAAATTGAAAAATTTACTATTACTTTTTCCTTAAAATAAGAGGTATAAATAAAAAAAGGAATATATTCAAAAAAATTATTTTTCCAAGTAACTCTCACCATCCATGCGTTTGTCAAAGACTCCAGTCCACGTTTTTTTAAATCCAATTTCAATACATGTGTGTGGGCATTTTTAAAATATAAATTCTGATTTTCAAAAATGCTGACAAGAGTCAGACTTTCATAAACACATGGTGAGAGTAACTTGGAAAAATGTGTTTTATTTTTATTCCTTTTTATATTTATTTTATGATTTTATAGAAATATTAGTAGTCAATTTCTTACGTTCAAACAGTTTCAATGAATATTCCAAATTTTAAGATACTTTTCAAGTTTTTTTCAAGTTTTTCATTTTTGCTGATTTTCAAAAACGTTGACTGGAGGGATATTGTTATGTTCACAAATGCCCATACATATGTATTGAAATTGGATTTTAAAAAACGTTGACTGGAGTGATATTGATATTTTTAAAAACGCCCACACACATCTCTTGAAATTGGATTTTCAAAAACGTTGACTGATATTGATATTTTCACGGTTATTTTTCAAGATTTTTTCAAGAGAATTTGAAAGTATTTTTTTTCACAAACGCCCACACACATGTATTGTGAGTTGATTTGCAAAAATGCTGACTGGAGTCAGACTTTCACAAACACACACTAATATTGACTTGGAAAAATATTTTGGTTTACATGTTTATTTTTATGTTTATTCCTTGGTTTTTTAGAAAGATGAATAGTCATTAATTTCAAACACTCCCAATGACTTTTCTGGTTTTTAGATTATTTTTCAAAATTTTTTCAAGAGAATTTTAAAGTATTTTTTTCACAAACGCTCACACACATGTATTGTGTGTTGATTTGCGAAAACGCTGACTGGAGTCAGACTTTCACAAACGCACACTAATATTGACTTGGAAAAATATTTTGGTGTACGTATTTATTTTTATGTTTATTCCTTGGTTTTTTTTAGAAAGATGAATAGTCATTAATTTCAAACACTCCCAATG